GTCATGTTTAAAATTTAAGCTGTGAGTCTGAAAGAAATGAAGTATGTCTCTGCAGTCTGACTGGGTCTGGAAAAACACTTACCTGACACTGGTTTTACATTCGCATATTTCTGAAGACTTCCCCATGCGCTGCTGTTAAAGATCTCTAGTAGTCTGTTTTCCTACTTCCTGCTTCTGGACACCTATAAAATTTCCAGTTTTGTGTGAAACTGGTTATCCTTATCATTACTAAATTAGTCTGTTTTATAAGGGTGAAGATCACTCCTGTGCAAAAGGGCTACACAAAACCAGTGTGCTATTTAAATCACATTAAGCCCTGTTTTGAGGTCTTAAGTGAAGAGGCCTTTGTTTAATCCCCTGCAGAGGAATGAGAGCAGGGGAGCTCTGAGTTTGAGCTGCTAGAAATGGAAGGAGATGCTCAATATGAGTGTTGCCCCCACTCCTACTTCATTGGCTGAGACTGCTTCCTTAGCCTTTTAGTGATACTGGGGTTTAGGGTTGCCAGGTGTACAGTTTTGAGCCGGACAGTCCAGTATTTGAGCTGTCTGTTCTGGAAACAAATTGAGAAAATATAAATGTCCGGTATTTTCTAAATAAGATGTAATGTAGATTGTGATGTAATATCAAGTGTGTCCAGTATTTTTGTTGAAACCATCTGGCAACCCTACTGGGGTTTTACACAGGATGTGGCTTGTTTGGGAGCAGGTAGGTTTCCAGCCAGACAATAGTACCTCTCCTTGGGACTCGCCTCTGCTTTCAAATAAACCCCAAAAATCTCATAAGAAATGAACTTCCCCTTTCTGGAGTTGTCTTCTCCTGGAATTTTCTTGGGTTCTTTGTGTTCATGGTAACTTCCCTTTTCTGAAGTTAGCCTGTTTTTTACAAGGCCTTGTTAAAGGCAGATGTCTACATCTCCTGTTCCTTCCTCGGCTTTTCCTGTAGTGCAGGTTACTGGTATTTTCACCTCTGCTCTCTTTTCCAGCATTTTGCTGTTACAGCCTTTACTGCTCCTGTGTTCTTCTGGAGTAGAAGTTTGGTATGCCACAGGCCTTGCTTTTAAAGGTACATACACTTTGATTATATTAATCCCGAGGGCATTCTGGGCCTGAGTATTCTGCGCACAATATTTTAAAATTCCACACAATTTATTTATCAAATAAATGTGGAGCTTTCAGCATGGCATTGGGGAGCACAGGCCACTGACTGCCGTAAGATGGGAGATGACACTGCGACTCCCTCCCACCTCTGAAACATAGACACAGTGGTGAGACTGCATCCAACTCTGACACAGTGCAAGGACCGGGCTTGCCCCAGAAATGTCTAAGGTTGCCAGATAGTTTCACAAAAAATACCGAACATGGCAGGAAAAAAATTGGTTGAGGGGGGGAAAAAAATGCACCAAAAAAGAGTCACTGTGCCTTTAAATTACCCCTCTCCTCCCGCCCCCACCAGATGTGGCAGGGGAAGAATGTCCCAAGCGGCCTTCCATCCGAGAAAAACAGAAAATACTGGACATTTTACACGTCCGGTATTTTGGTGTTTTTTTGTTTTTTTTTACCAGACAGAAGCCACAAATACCGGACTGTCCGGGCACCTGGCAACCCTAAATGCCCCAGGGCCTTTCCCCGCGATTCTGGGTGCAGTCAGGCAGGCTCAGGCTAGCAGGATCCAAGTGTGGGGCTTGGTGTGTAGGTTCAGAGAGGTCTGGGTGGCTCCGTGGAGGATCCAGGCACTGGGGAGAGTTCAACGCAAAAAACCCCAAACCAAAAAAAAAAAAACCCAGGCTTGTTGAGGGGGCCTGTGTGCAATGGCAATGTGAGACTGCGGGGGTATCCACGTGGAGGTAATTGGACTCAGCAGGGGGGGATTCTGGGTGTGGGGCAGTGAGGCTTGGTGGGAGGGCCTAGGTATGAGGGAGTCTGGATGCATGGGGATTGGGCAGCTGACAGTGCAACTCACTATACAATGACTCCCTCCCTGTGCATCATAGGAGTGACAGATGCAGGATTTGAGGGAGGATTTGGCAAAGCTTCCAGCAGCCTGGGAGAAATCTGAGGGTGGGTCTGACCTCTAGCCCCCTGTTCCACAGTGATTTATTTCTCAGCAGGCTGCCCTGGGGACCTATAAATATACTATTGGGGAGAATCACAGGACTGCTCTTGTGGCTTCCCCAAAGAAATCTTGGAGTGGGCATGAAGTCTATGGCTACGTCTAGACTATGTCCCTTTTTCGTAAAAGGGATGTAAATTAGACGTATCGTAATTGCTGATGAAGCGGGGATTTAAATCTCCCCCGCTTCATTAGCATAAAAATGGCTGCCGCTTTTTTTCCGCACGGAGCTTTGTCGGAAAAAAGCACCAGTCTAGACGCTGATCTTGCGGAAAATAAAGCCTTTTCCGAAAGATCCCTTATCCCACTATGAAATAAGGGATGTAGTCTAGACGTAGCCTATGTGGCTGTGTCTACACTGCACCCCTTTTCCGGAAAAGGGATGCAGATTAGACACTTCGGAATTGCAAATCCGCGGGGGATTTAAATATCCCCCGCGGCATTTGCATTTACATGGCTGTCGCTTTTTTCCGGCTTGGGGATAAGCCGGAGAAAAGCGCCAGTCTAGACGCGATTCTCCGGAAAATAAGCCCTTTTCCGGAGGATTTCTTATTCCTACTTTCAATACTTCAGTACTTCAATAAGGAATACTTGAAAGTAGGAATAAGAAATCCTCCGGAAAAGGGCTTATTTTCCGGAGAATCACGTCTAGATTGGCGCTTTTCTCCGGCTTATCCCCAAGCCGGGAAAAAAGCGGCAGCCATGTAAATGCAAATGCCGCGGGGGATATTTAAATCCCCCGCGGATTTGCAATTCCGAAGTGTCTAATCTGCATCCCTTTTCCGGAAAAGGGGTGCAGTGTAGACACAGCCTGTGTGTGCAGTAATGTAGAATTCCCCCAGGAGTATAATAACTAGTTATTGAGGGTAACCTATCCGTTTCCCTTTACTGAGCTACCATGATTTCCATAGACAATTATTTTATAATTTGCCCCCAAACCAATTTTTCTTTTGCCTGAAGACTGAAATATTCCAATTGGAATATGCTGCCCTCGTGTCTCATGGAAGCTGTGCCCCCATTCTCTTCTGTGAGCCAGGATCGCTGGCCAAACTGCATCTTCTAGGGTGCATTCTTTTAATGGAACCCTGATGCATAGTGAGGGGGATATAGACCGACCAGTGTCCCTGGTCAGATGCCTCGCAATCCTTTTTCCTCAGTTGAGCTACAGCTTTCATTAGGCACTGCAGCAGCATGTCTGAATTTGAATTTCTCTGAAAAAAAATCAGTTCTCCATTAAAAATTTAGATTTTTTTTTCATGTGCATTGACATCGATGGGTGAGGAAAGCCCATTTTTCTAACCAACTCTAGTTTCAGGTTTTATTTTTTTAACTGTGATGTTGTAACTCTTAAGCTTGGTCTGCCTGAAGGTAGTTACATTATTGAAGCTGTGACTCATCTTACCCAGTTTCCTCAAATGCAGTACTTTTTGTTTTCCTTTCTCTGTCCTTAGCAAAAACAGTTGGAATGTTAATAGTCCTAAATAAGATCTGTGTTGGAGATCAGACTCCTTTTCACAGAATAAAGAAAGTCTAGAGATGAATGGTCAACACTTTTGTCTGGTAACTTCAGTTTTTCCCCCCTTCGGGTGCCATAATTTTTTTTCTACAGTTTGTTGTTTGTTCCTTCCTCTTTCTCTGTTTGGAAATTAATCATGCAGGAAATGATTAACCACAGCTAGCTTTCTGTATGCCCATTTCTGACTTAATGTGTCATGTTAGGAGAGAAGCCTTGAAAAGGACTTAAAATGGCTGCCTAGATGCACACAACAATCTTTTGTACAGACTTACAATCCAGTTGTTCACTTTGGCCATCCCACATAACTAGTCATCCTTTTACATTTAGCAGAATAAGACATTTGTTTAAAAATAACTTATTTCTCAGACAAGCTTGAACTATAAAGTTAGAATCTGAACTTGCCAAAGTTTGCATATCTAGGGTGCCAGAAGGTCCATTTCTACTTAATTCCTTTGCAGCTTGCTTTTGTAGAGTGTGATGTATAAGAGAGAAGTCCTGCTTCTACCCTAAGCTTTTTAAATGAGATTGATTTATTTTGTTATGACATGCTGCATATCATAACTGGTTTTATTCTATTATTAGAAATGGATGATGGAGGTCTAACGAATAGCTGGTGGACTTAATTAGCACAACAGTCATGCGCATTTGGTAAGATCACAGCCTCCCTGCATTAGTCCTTGGTGTTTAACATATGTGAGGTTTACTGCAGTTTTTAGTTGCATCACCTCCCTAGTGACTGTAGTACAATGTTTCTCAAACTGCTCTGCGGAGCCCCAGGGCTCCACGAGACATCTCCAGGGGCTCCTCGAGGTTGACAAACTGGAAACATCGATGGGTACAACACATACAATCAGTGGACCGCTGGGGCTCCGCATAAATTTTTACACGTGTAAAGGGCTCCGGAGCCCAAAAAGTTTGAGAACCGCTGCTGTAGTAGATGCCTTGAAAGTGGATGAAAAAATAGAATGCTGCACCTTGAGTCTCTTCTAGAGAACTTTATAGAGTGGATGTTTTTGGATTTAAGAGAGTTTTTAGTCCTAGTCTCAGCAGGA